GCTTAATTTCTGTATTTTTCTTCAGCTTTAAAGGAGAACCTCAGACAATCAAAACTGAGCGATTGAGTGCGTGGGTGGACGTGTGTGAATGTGTAGTATGCTTAAGTGCAAGTTTGCTGAAGACTCCAATGATCCCTCACCTCAATACTTAAGTGGACCTTTTCACAACTGGCAAACGTTATTATGAAATGTCAGACAAAAATATACCTGTCAAGCACACAAGGCCAAAATGACTGTTGAGACTCAATGCGAATCAGTGAATGCTGCAAGTAAGGCAGGTGCTTCTTACTGTAAAAGATAAAGCGATGCCTTTGCGGACAGGTTTGTGAGACACCAGCCAATCACTGGCATTTATAAATCAATTCACACTCATTATAATACTCGGAGTAATCCCTGGGAAACAGAAACCAACAGGAGCTCAATCGATGTTTGTCAGAATAGCTCTGATGAATCAAAGACAGTGGATCAGCCTCCCAGTATTGATTCGCTACCCATACCTTAGCATCACTCCTAAAACCCATTGACACCAGAATTAGCATGATTAGAACAATCTATTTCTTTCTGTGCTTCTATTAGTATTTCTGGTTTTACAGTTTCTCACTGAGATCTAAAGCTTATCCTCGTGAGTTGTAACAATTGTCTTATTCTGCATTTCTACAGTCAGTAAAGCTGGTGGGGGGGGGGTGTTTAGAGTCTCAATACTTTTGGACAAAAATGACTTTTTTCAAGCTCATTCCTGCGTGTTCAAGACAAGCAAATTAAAAATTATTATTTGTGCCCAGGAATTAGCCACAGTGAATTCATGTCCCTTAGCAACACAGTGAAATGATTTAGCAGGCAGTGGAGTGAAGCACTTATTGCTGTGTCAGTTCTCACAGCATGCTGATTGATCTAAACCCACCAGCCTGACAAGATGGATTATTGGATGATCGTGATCAAACAAGTCTTGCCAGAATCTAGATGCCTCATATAGCAGGGACTTACTGACAACGGGAAAGTCATAGTCATCGTCTTTATCTAAAATCAGAGTGGGTCTTGCTAGTTCTCTCAAAAAGACTATGTGAAATGGTCCCCCTCTTCAGTTTACTGAACAGCAGTGCACAGTTTACTGTGCATTAGTGTAATGTACAGTTTGTCTCTTACTCACTGACCAATTACGAGAAGCCCTCTGTCTGCATTATACCCAATTAAGAAAAATTCCCTTGTGGGTTTATATTGGTTTTATTATTACAATATTACAGTGTAGTAATATTGTGATAATAACGTACAAGCTATATTTAATGTACTACTACAATTATGTTTTCAATACATCAAGACCCATGTATTTTGGAAAGCAATCAATTAATACAAATCCCACATATATACTCAAGTCCTTCCCAATCAGTGGTGGGTTGTTGAAGAATTCAGGATGAGCACATTTACACTTTTTAAATATTTTTTTATATTTTTTATAATCTCTGCAGAATATATCCCTGTAGGGGAACCTATAGCCACAGCTTCACCCATATTCTTGTGCCAAACCCCACAGCCACATAAAGACTGCAGAAGATTAAATGAAAACAGGAAAGGCAGACAGGGGCAACAAATTCATGCCGAGTGTGGACGTGCTCGAGCGTTGGGAATGATAATTTAATTTGTTGAACCCATTGTGGCTCCCACTGCTACTGTAGCTTTGATGCAAAAGGAGCCCATTTGCCAAGGGCAGCGCAGAACAATTTGCAGCTTTAAGTCACCAGGACCTGCAGAGATTTGTTTACTTCTAATATTGCCTATTTCCATATTTCTCTCCAAGGCGGATGTGGATGGATGACAGATTATTCCAGAAATTGAAAAAGTAAGAAACAAATCCCTTGGCACTCGCTTTCTGAGCAGCACTGGTGCCTGTTTGTCTGGACCACAGTAAGAGGTTGGGGAGAGCACACGCTCAGGCCTAACAAGATCTCTGGTATAAAAGACACATGCTGAGTTGTTTACTTTGGTGACTTACCGCTTAACGATTCATTAAACCAACTCAGACTCAATGAATCCCAAATGAAAGCTCATAATGCCAAGTTGGGTAGAAATGTAAACACCCTGCAATCTTGCTGATAAATAAGTCATTAAAAAGTGAATGAGGACATGAGATACCCATAAAATATGCTTCCTTGTACGACACTGCATTTATATGATGAAAGGATTTTCTTAAGATTAGAGATTTCCCTTTCTGAAATTTCTCCAAAATCATTTCAGCTCAAACAAGAGGCCCAGACACCTCCTCCAGAGTTCAAAGTAGACAAGACAAAGCTGGCTTTATTATTCCCTTGACTTCCATTTACTGTATTGGCCTGTGCCGATGCTTTTAAGCAGCGGCATGGATATTCATGCCTACTCATCAGGAAGTCTTCCCTCACGACTTGTGCCACTGCAGGCTCTATGGTCTCTCTCAATGGGTGCATTTGTGTGTGCAATAATACACCCCTGTGACTTGGCACTCGAGCACCCACTCCTTGAAAAAGCTGCAAAAAACAGTCAGCATGAACCCTCATTCAGATTGCTAGAAATCTGAATTTGACAACTAAGACATGCAATGCTTGCAGACCATCCGCCATCATACAGCCCACATGTTCACGTCCGGAACTGTAAGCATACCCGTTCACTTGTGTTTACTGTTGAGCACATGGCCACAGTCAGATGGCCTGTTGGAAAGCAACGTGTGTGCCGACTGACAATGAGAACAGTCTGGGCAAAGACCTGAGTCATTTGGTGCCTCTTTGGCCAAGTAACACCATGTGATCATGGCTCACAACACAGAACAGGTGCCCACTTACAAAAAAACCCTCAAAGAGACGGAGAAAGAGAGAGAGAGATGCAGCAAAAAGAATAAGCGCTTAGATCAATGTCAGACCACAAAAGGTGTATTTCTGCAGTGTGGACTAAAATCCTCAAACCCAAAATTGGTACACCATGACACTAGTTGGCTATGTCAGCACGAGTAGGTGCAGATGTGTGGGAGCTCTCTGGCGTTCAGATCACCAGATTATCACTTTACATAAGGAAATCATCTCTTCCCAAGTACAAAGCTGTTTGTGCACAGTCCAACTGCTATTAAAGATAAGGCTCAGACAACCCACGCAGCTACAGATACAGCATTTCCAATCAAGCTGGCTTTCCCTCAAGTAGCAGCAAAAAAACCTCTAAACTAGGTTACAAGACTATATGACGCTTCAAACAAATGCTTTGTTTGACTCCCTTGCATTTCTGCACACCTACATCTTGCAGGGCCATTCCTGTGTGGCAGCATATTTCTTAAGACTCACGTGGACTAACTTAGCATTTATTCAGCTTTTTTTAAACTACTTATATTTATATAACCCATAATTACTCATAACAGTTTACTGTTTACTAGCCATATTTCAAGAAATTCACATGAAATGACAAAAAAAAGAGTACTGATCATATTAGTTTGACCTGTAAACAATATTGATTGTTCACTTCAACACTAACCCCACCCCCCACCCCTGCCTCAGTCATATAGGACACCAGTGTTTTAGCTTGTCTTCTTATCCTCTATTGCAAGGGAGTTAAACAGAAGTCCAACTCCTCATCTTTCTATCCTTTGTGGACACAGTGGGGTTTTTTTTGTGGCTGTGTGTACAGGATTGTGTGCTTTCTTACTGTGACACTGCACCCTTCACTCTGTCTGTCCTCCACACACTGTGGCCCTGTATGTGCAGCATGAGTGGAGCTGTGTGTTGTAGATAAGAGTCAGAGTATGGCAACTGTGGTGTGGGGCACGTGTGAAAAGACCACCAAAAAAACAAAAACAGGGGGGGGATTTAGCTGTCTTTCTCCCAGTCAGATTCACCTCTGGGTGCCCTTTCCTCCACACACTGCCATTACATCGTCCTCATGAATAATCCAGCCTGTGACACTATTCTGTGCTATTCTACTGACACATTTCACCATGAGGCTCAACACATGCAGTATGGAAGCTGTCCACTGCAGTGCCCTAGTGAACTACGACTTCCACGCTGTGTATGATGTACAACTTATTTTCGCTCATGATGTGAGAAATATTTTGCCGGAACCTTCCTCTGTCTAGACAGACGATAATCAGCTGTATCTTCACCCGTTTATTGTCCATTTGAATTCCATTACAGCAAGGCTGAAATGAGCAAAAGTAGAATAACATATCTTTAATTAAAAGCTGACTGCCCCTTCTCTGTCTCTCTTTTTTCCTTTTCTCTCTCAACCACTCTCACTTGGATGTCTTAGCGAGCACTAGTCTGACTCATGACAATTAAAAGAGAGGCCGAGAACACCGAGAAGGCATGTGTTATTCTTCACGGGGCAATATTGGCCACTTATTCTTGGGGGCAATTTGTTGTTGCTAAGGAAAATGTGAGAATAGTGTCAGCAGCATGAATTAGCAGATTGCAACAGAAGCTCCTCCAGCTACAAACTCAGCCAAGGAAAAGGATGTGGAGGATAATTAGTGCACAAGTTGCACGCATAAGTCAGACACATTTCCCAGAACGCTGGTTTTCAGATCTGAATAATGATATGCCAACTTAAAAGAACAACTTTTGTTTAGGGACATTTTAGAGTAATTCGTCGGAAGCTATTAGTGCTGCTGTATTCTACCGTTAGTGCTATGAGAAAACATGACGCAGGTTGTTACATCACCTTGTGAGTTTGTGAGCCAAATGTGACAATGTCGAGCCAGTGAAATAGTGCGGCCCTGATGTGTCAGCTGGCACGGCAAGGACTTATACAAAGAGTACACTCCTTGGGCTAGGAAAGACTATATAAGGATTCTTTGACTGCTTTTATTCACACTCATTAGCTATGCAGCAAGGGGGCTGATTTGAGACCCTTTGAGAGGATCCAGAGAAACCAGGTCTGTTAGTGTGAAATGGAAAACCGACCTGTTTGTCAGTCTCACCTACACCGAATGCTAATGCTGCTCTCATCAATGGGCTCTTCATGCAGAGATCCAGCCGAGGACATAGGAACTAGCACCAGTAAAATACAACCACAGGGCAGCACAGCAAAGGAGCCAGAAGAGGACAGTGGCGTGCCACAGCCCGCAACAGCTACAGCTTTTATCTGCGGTTACACTGATCTGAGGAATGAAGGTAGAGATCCAACTGTTTTGTTCTGTTTCTCATAATGCCTTCAGCAGCCCTTCACTCACTGCCTCTTTCTCCTTCTGCCATTTACATTGCTTGAGAGAAGGAGTGAATAACAACAGGCTTTCAAAACAATTCTAAAGTGTTAAATCAATACAGACAAGCTCCGGTAAAAATAAGTAACAGTAATATACAGCCAGAAGGCCTGAAAGGGAACACAACACTGCATTATAACTTTTAATCGATCCTCTTAGTGAAGAGCTCTCTGTGAGAGGCAATTACGGCATCCAGTGAGTGATTTTAAACATACGTAGCATGGTGCATAATTTAAAAAATATAACCTAATGGACATACAACTCGAGTCAGAGGTTTACATACACTCATCATGGGCATGATTGTTATGGCAGTTTGTGGGCCTTCTGGATTCTTCTGGATTTCTTTGACTTGTTTGGCTTGACATATTGCACCACTAATATTGGGTTGAATGTCCATTAGCAACTTGCACCTCGACCAGATGCTTTTGGTATCCATCAACAACCTTTTAGCATAATTCTGGTTGCATATTTGAAAACTCTTCTTGGCAGAATTGGTAGAATACGAAGGGCAACAGATGGGTGTAAATTTGAAAAACTCTTATTACTCCAAAAATAATAATGCATCCAAATCAATGTTGTTATGAATTATTTGCCTATTCAAGGCTGTAATAACTTCATGCCAAATACTTCCATTTGCAAGTCATTTTTTGAAAATATTGCATATTGTGGGTTTTTCACCCCCAAAAAACAGGGTTTTTTATGACAACAAAGCCATAAAAACCTAAAAAATATTTAAAAAATAATGAAAAACTTTATATCTGTGGTTAGGTCTGAAGTTGTTTAAAAGATCTGATGTGAAAAAAATCAGAAAAAAATTTCATATATGATATTGCTATATCACCTTTTGTCAGGGGACCATTTTGGGTACGAAGGGCAAAGGATGGGTATAAATTTTAAGGGATGGTCAAGAGTTAAATTAGTTGTTTTTTTTGGAGATCAACTCTACTTTTAAGTCCACAAATTTCCATTAGGGCAAAGGTCAGTTGAGGCTTTGAGACGTCCATTCCAGAAGCTCAGTTGGGCATTTATAAGCAACTGCAATTTGCCATTATCTGACTCAGACTTTGGCATTATGTAGAAGTAGAATGACCTCCCAAATCGACTTCACCTCAAATTAACAGCTAAAACAACAGCTATAATTGAAACTTACGCACAACTGGGTGTTCCAACAGGACAATGAACCCAAACGCATATCAGAATTGGTTTTGGAATGGGCAAAGCAGGCTAACATTAAGCTGCTGAAATGGCCTTCCCAAAATCCCAAAAAATATTCAGCAATAATTATACCAGAAACTTGTTGGTGGCTATCAAAAAGATCTGGAGCAAGTATGTGCAACTTGCAAAGGTACATTTAACCTAATATTTAGGGCCGAGGTTCACTTTTGGCTCTGTAATTATACTTTTAATCCTATGTGGATTAGAGAAAGCGCAAAAATAATTTTCAAACTTGTTCAAAGTCTTATCTTTTTTAAAGCCATTAAAGATGTCTCCTGTACAATCATTTGAAATCAACTTGAAACAAAACACTAAAAAAAACCAGAACTACCATGACATTGATGTCCATGATTGCATGTATAATTTGACCAAAACTTACAAATTAAATTTAATAGCAGTGAAGATGGAAATAGAAATTCATATGTGTAACATTAGTATGAGTAGTCTAAGCAATAAAAAGAGCAGGTAAGCAAACAGAACAGATTGAATAATGGACAATGCAATAGCACTTGCTGAGGCTTCTAGTGCTATACTTCCCATCTCTGTCAAGGGTAATGGGATTTCTTAGGTTTAAATGCACTTCACTCACTCTGTGTAGCCAATAGGAAGCTAAACTATTGATCCACAAACAATTTAGCTGTCCAGCTGTCCAGAAAGGGGAAAAACAGGGTGCCCCTAAACGTATAATTAGGCTTCCTGAGAGATCAACTTCTTCAGTATTCGAGCCACGTACCAGGAAGCCTTTCCCTTGGGGCTCTTTCTGCTATTAGCCTTCTATTACTTACAGTTCTACAATCCCTCACCCCGAAGTTTAGGGCCTTAATAAGCTAAAGAACTAAGATACATCTTACCAAGGACACTTTGGGTTAATGCAAAAATCTTCACTGACCCTCTCATTCTGTCATCTCCAACAGGCCACTGTTTTTCCATAGCTTTCATAGCTCCGGTTTAGTATGCTGTCAAGGCAACAGTGCATGCATCATCACCTTGAGGCAGCTTTTAGTCAGCTAGCATGAAAAACAGCATATAGTATACATGAAAGGCAGTGCTATATGGAGAAGAGTGTAGTCATGCTTGGAAGCCTTGCAGGCTGAACTAGCATGCAGATGAATTTGAGTTCTTGTCCTCCACACATGCTCACAGCACCATAGCAACAGGCCTTGCTCAAAGGCCCCAAGAGCAGCAAGGCCCCACCGAAAAAGACACTTTCATACTTAATAGGGGGCGTTCAGTCCACCAACTTCTTTCTCCTCAGCGCTATAACATAACAATGCAAGCAATTAAAGTTTAACTTTCACACGCTCATAATGAACACTGATTAAATAGCTTCAGTGTTTTCCAAGAACCCTTCCTCCTGCTCCACCAAGCAACTAAAAAAATTCAATGTTTCAATTATTTACTTAATCTATGTGCGCTCATTTTATTTCAGCTCAGTCTGGGAGTACTCCAGGCATTTACATTTGTGCTAGTTTCTCTCCTGTGATCTGCTGTTCCCCTGAGTGTGTTTGAGTCTAGTTCACCTTGTTTGTGAGTGAGAGAGTTGGAGTGAAGCACGGAGCATGAAAGAGCAGAGACGGGGTGAAGCTAGGGTTATACTTTTTGCATCGGTGAGTACCCGAGGATCCACTTTGGCCAGAGTGGTAAAAATATCTTCATCGAAGAGTACACGTGAGGCACTGAACTTTCACCCCCAAAACCTCCAATTTGTTGTGATCACACTGATTTGTTCATCCCACTACCTCACAAGGGCACCAGCTCTGCATGCATCCAAGTGGACTTCAAGCGTACTCGAAAGATGCAGCAATCTGTGCGCACACAGGGGTATAAAGCTCCCCTTTTTCAAGTTGATAAAAACTTGTTAGCAAACTGTAAGTATAACAGCCCAAAGCAGTCAACCTGTGGAAAACCATAAGGGTTAAATTCAGTTAGTCAAAAAATAATGCTAAATGCTAGATTTTATGTGCAGATTATAGAGGAAATGTAACCTAGATACTTTTTTTTCAAGTTTTTAAACATGCAAAACATCTCTGCTCTGTGCCAAAAGTCATTCATTTTCTTCTTCACAAAATGCTTCTGATTCCTTACGATTTGCAATTTATTAACATGCTTTGTAACACAGTGACATAAATTAAAATCTCAACAGATTGGGAATTTTCTTGTAAACAAGATTTTCATTGTAACCCTCTGGTTAGAAATCCCAGTGAATACATCAGACACGCTCTGCTGATTTTCAAATTGCAATCGAAAGTCATCTCGTACAGGACCGAAATAGAGCACCGAGTTGTTTGGCTGCACAGCTTCTCAGCAGCCCTGTAAACAAAGTATCTGACTACACCTACAAAGGTGCAAAAACAGATGGCTCTAGGCTCCCACGTGGGAAGTGAGTCCACTGCGTGTAACATAATATTTCTGCTTAGCTAAATGGAAAAGGGGGCAATCTGAGACTTTAAAAAGTGGTATAATTAAGACCCAGTCACAAAGAGAGGTCTGAAATTGACTACTCCATTAGAGAAAACTGTCCTCTGAATTTGGTAACCTTGCAAAGTGATAGCTTAAACTCTTTATCATTATTAAATACTAAACACTTAAATACAAGCTGAAAAGAACTGAGCTGTAATGAACTATTTAATGAACTCTTCATATTACTGCATAAATGAAATATCATCAAGATAGATGAGGGTTGCTCTGCTAATGAGGAAACAAACAATGTTTAGGGCTGGCACCATAATGAAGGAAGACAAATATTATCAGAAATAACCTAAAAGAAAATTCCTGTTCACAGGAGCGCACATTTGTAATCTTGCTCTAATTGACTGGATAAATCCCATAAGATTTACTTTGATTATAAAGCCTAAAAATATCTCAGAGAAAACCAAGTGAAACATCAGAGAAAAGAAATGAAATCTTGTCAGATTTAACCTAATTACAGATTTAAACTCCTCTTAAATGTCACCAAGATCATCGACTTGCTGAAAAATATATATTTTATGAGGTACAGATGTTCTAGAACTAAATGTTCTAAATTCTATAAATGTTTTTTCATCTTTATTTTTTTTAATTTTATCTAAAATACTCTCTTAACTTACCCCAAAAAGCTAAAGATGGCTCTTCTTCTTCTACTCATCCTGTATGCGTGAGATAACACTTTGATAACACTGATCGATATCCACCCTTTTTGAGTGGGAGGGGGAGATAACTGATGCTACCTGCTTGTCTGGTCTGCATTATCTTAATGAAAATTAAGATAATGTTTATCTGTCCACCAGTGACACGTCACTTTGGGCAGACAGATAAACAGGAAGAACCATGCATTACTAAAGAAGCTTGCCACTTTATGCAGACTCACACAGATTAGAAGAAGATAACAAATTTTATATCTCTTTTTCTATATATACATATCTTGAGGGTAGCTTATTTTTCTGTCTTTAGAACTAAACCACTCCAGTCTGCATTTGCAAAACAAACCAGAAGAACCACATGAGCCAACTCAGCACTTAGCAGAGTCACATAGATTACACGAAGAAGAACAGCTATACAAAGGGTAAAAAAATAAATAAACTAAGTCATTTCTTTTTTGTTTTCCTATCTTTGTCCTTCACCGGGATCTTCAACGCTATAAATAGGCATGTCATTTAGCAGGTGATATCAAAAAAAATCTATTTTTATCTTTAGTATTGTTCCGCGTTTGTGTAAACT